CAACTTTTAGCTAAATACTTTTTGCATGTGCCCTTAATGTGAAAAGACCCCTTTTTGTTTTAGTTTATTTGTTCTGAAAAGAAAACAATCTTTCATTTTACACACCACTCCCAGTTCACACTCCCTCCTCTCCAGGTCCCTTTCCCTCCACCTAACCCACAGACACACCCCACACCCCATGCACTCCTCAGAGAGGGTATAAGGCACATTATTTTGGTGAAGGTCCAAGGTCCTCTCTGCTGTATCTAGGCTGAGCAGGTTATTCATCCAAAGAGAATGGGTTCCCAAAAAATCCAGTACAAGCAATAGGAATAAATCCTGGTGCCACTGCCAGTGACCCCTCAGTCTGCCCCAGCCATACAGCTGTCACCCACATTCAGAGGGACTAGTTTGGACCTATGCTGTTTCCTTCCCTGTCCAGCTGGAGTTGGTGAACTCAGGTAAACTGTTTCAGTGAGTGTCCCCATCATGTCTTGACCTCTTTGCTCATATTCTCACTCCTCCTACCTACCCTTCAGCTGGACTTTGGGAGCTCAGTCCAGTGCTGCAATGCAGGTCTCTGCCTCTGTTTCCATCAGTTGCTGGATGAAAGTTCTATGGTGATATTTAAGATAATCATCAGTCTGACTACAGGGCAAGGCCAGTTTGGGCCCCCTTTCCTCTATTGCTTAGGGAGTTAGCTAGGGTCATCCTTGTGAATTCCTGGGAATTTCTCTAGTGCCACTTACTAGCCCCATAATGGCTCCCTCAATCAAAATACCTCTTTTCTTGTTCTCATTTCTGTCCTTCCTCCATCTCAACTATCCCATACCCTCAAGTTCTCCCCTTTCCCCCTCCTCCCCTCATCTTCCCCTTCTATCCTCCCTCCTTCCCCCACGCTCCCAATTTTGTCAGGCGATGTTGTCCGTGTCCCCTTTACAGGTGGGTCTATATGTTTTTCTTAGGGTTCAACTTGTTACTTAACTTCTCTAGGATCATGAACTATATGCTCAGTATCCTTTGCTTTACAGCTAGTATTCATTTATGAGTGAGTATATACCATGTTCATCTTTCTGGGTCTGGGTTACCTTACTCAGGATGGTGTTTTCTAGTTCCATTCATTTGCATGCAAAATTCAAGATGTCTTTTTTTTTTTTTTAACCACTGAGTGGTACTCTTATGTGTAAATATGCAACATTTTCTTTATCCGTTCCTGGGCTGAGGAGCAACTAGGTTGTTTCCAGGTTTTGACTATTACAAATAATGCTGCTATGTACGTAGTTCAATAAGTGTCCTTATAGTATGATTGAGCATCTTTTGGGTATATGCCCAAGAGTGATACTGCTGGGTCCTGAAGTAGGCTGATTCCCAATTTTCTGAGAAACCACCATACTGATTTCTGAAGTGGTTGTACAAGTTTACATTCCCACCAGCAAAACCCTTACTCCACATCCTCTCCAGCATAAGCTATCATTGGTGGTTTTGATCTTAGCCATTCTGACTGGTGTAAGATGGTATCTCTCAGAGTTGTTTTGATTTGCAATTCCCTGATGGCTAAGGATGTTGAACATTTCCTGAAGTGTCTTTCGGCCATTTGAGATTCTTCTGTTGAACATTGTTTAGTTCTGTTCCCCATTTTTAAATTGAGTTATTTGGAAATTTGATGTCTAATTTCTTGAGTTCTTTATATATTTTGGAGATCAGTCCTCTGTCTAATGTGGAGTTGGTGAAGATCTTTTCCCATTCAGTAGGCTGCCTTTGTCTTACTGACCATGTCCTTTGCTTTACAGAAGCTTCTCCGTTTCAGGAGGTCCCATTTATTTATTGTTGCTCTCAGTGTCTGTGCTGCTGTTGCTATAGTTTAGGAAGTGGTCTCCTGTGCCCATGCATTGAAGACTCCTTCCCACTTTCTCTTCTATCAGGTTCAGTATGGTCGGATTTATATGGAGGTCTTTAATCCATTTGGACTTGAGATTTGTGCATGGGGATAAATAAGGATTTGTTTTCATTCTTCTACATGTTGACATCCAGTTATGCCAGCACCATTTGTTGAAGATGCTTTCTTTTTATTGTATAATTTTAGCTTCTTTATCAAAAATCAGGTGTTTATAGGTGTGTGGATTAATATCTGGGTCTTCGATTCAATTCCCTTGGTCGACCTCTCTGTTTTTATGCCAAGCTGTTTTCATTACTGTAGCTCTATAATAGAACTCAGTCAGCCTCCGGAAGTTCCTTTATTGTACAGGATTATTTTGACTGTCCTGGGTTTTTTGTTTTTCCATATGAAATTGAGTATTGTTCTTTCAGAGTCTGTGAAGAATTGTGTTGGGATTTTGATGGGGATTGCATTGGATCTATAGGTTGCTTTTGGTAGGATTGCCATTTTTATTATGTTGATCCTACCTATCCAAGAGCAAGGGAGATCTTTTCATTTTCTGGTATCTTCAATTTTTTTCTTCAAAGACTTTAAAGTTTTTGTCGAACAGGTCTTTCACTTCTTTGGTTAGGGTTACCACAAGATATTTTATGTTATTTGTGGCTATTGTGAAAGGTGATGTTTCTCTGATTTCCTTAACAGCTTCTTTATCCTTTGTATATAAGAGTGCTGCTGATTTTTTTTTTTTTAGTTGCTCTTGTGACCTGCCACATTACTGAATGTATTTATCAAATGTAGAAGTTCCCTAGTGGAGGTTTTGGGGTCACTTATGTATATTATCATATCATCTGCAAATAATGAAAGTTTGACTTCTTCCTTTCCAATTTGAATCCCCTTGATCTCCTTTTGTTCTCTTATTGCTCTAGCCAGAACTTCAAGAACTATGTTGAATAGATGTGGAGAAAGTGGACAACCTTCTCTTGTTCCTGATTTTAGTGGGATCACTTTGAGTTTCTCTTCATTTAATTTGTATGTTGGTTGTTGGCTTGCTGTTTATTGTTTTTATTATGTGTAGATGCTATGTTCCTTGTGTCCCTGATCTCTTCAAGGCCTTTATCATAAAGAGGTGTTGGATTTTGTCAAATGCTTTTCAGCATCTAATGAGATGACCTTATGGGTTTGTTTGTTTGTTTGTTTCAGTTTATTTATGTGGTGAATTACATTGATAGATTTTCAGATGTTGAATTGTCCCTGCATCTCTGGGAAGAAGCCGACTTGATCATGGTGGATGATTTTTTTTTTTAGTGTGTTCTTGGATTTGGTTTGCCAGTATTTTATTATTTTTGCATCCTTGTTCATGAGAGATTGGTCTGTAATTCTCTTTCTTGGTTGAGTCTTTGTGTGGTTTGGTATCAGGGTAACTGTAGCCTTATAAAGAGTTTGGCAATGTTCCTTCTCTTTCTATTTTGTGGAACACTTTGAGTATAGGTATTAGCTCTTTGAAGTTCTGGCAGAATTCTCCACTGAAACCATCTAGCCCTGGGCTCTGTTTTTTGTTTGGTAGGCATTTGATGACAGCTTCTATTTCCTTGCAGGTTATGGTCTATTTAAATTGCTCTCCTGGTCTTGATTTAATTTTGGTATGTGGTGCCTATCCAGAAAATTGTCCATTTCTTTTCAGTTTTCCAATTTTGTGGAGTACGGGTTTTTGTAGTATGACCTAATGATTCTCTGGATTTCCTCAGTGTCTGTTGTTATGTCCCCCTTTTCATTTCTTATTTTGTTAATTTAGATATTCTCTCTCTCTCTCTCTCTCTCTCTCTCTCTCTCTCTGCCTTTTGATTAGTTTGGATAAGGGTTTGTCTATCTTGTTGATTTTTCTCAAAGAACCAGCTCTGTTTCATTGATTCTTTATATTGTTTCCTTTGTTTCTTTTTTGTTGATTTCTGCCCTCAATTTGATTATTTCCTGTCTTCTACTCCTCCTGGGTGAGTCTGCTTGTTTTTGTTCTAGAGCTTTCAGGTGTGCTTTTTTATTTCCTTATTTCTTCTTTGACCCAGGGGTGGTTCAATAGAGCACTGTTTAATTTCCATGTGTTTGTGGGTTTTCTGAAATTAGTGTTGCTGTTGTATTCTAATTTTAAACCATGGTGATCCAATAAAATACAGAGGATTACTTCAAATTTTTTCTATCTGATGAGGTTTGCCTTGTTACCGAGTATGTGGTCAATTTTAGAGAAGGTTCCATTTGGTGCTGAGAAGAAGGTATATTCTTTTGTATTGGGTGGAATGTTCTGTAGATGTCTGTTAATTCCATTTGAGTCATGATATCTGTTCTCTTATTTCTCTGTTAGGTTTCTGTCTGGTTGACCTGTCCATTGGTGAGAGTTGAAGTCTCCCACTATTAGTGTGTGGGGTTTGATGTGCGATTTAAGCTTTAGTAGTGCTTCTTTTACATATGGGGGTGTTCTTGTATTTGGGGCATAGATGTTCAGGATTGAGACTACATCCTGATTGTTCCTGCTGTGAGTATAAATTGTTCTTCTCCATCTCTTTTGATTGATTTTAGTTTGAAGTCTTTTTTAGATATTGAGACAGCTACACCCACTTATTTCTTACTTTGTCCGTTTGATTGGAAAATCTTTTCCCGACACTTTACTCTGAGGTAATGTCCATCTTTGAGGTTGAGGTGTGTTTCTTATATGCAGCAGAAGGCTGGATCCTGCTTTCATATCTGTTCTTTTAATCTATGTCTTTTTATGGGTGAATTGAGTCCATTGATATTAAGAGATATTAATGGCCAGTGATTGTTAATTCCTGTTATTTTTTTCAGTGGTAGTGTGTTTCTCTTCTTGGGGTTTTGTTGGTATGAGGTTATCTGTTGCCTGTGTTCCTGTGGGTGCACTTAGCTTCCTTGGGTTGGGGTTTTGCTTCTAATATTTTCTGTAGGGCTGGATTTGTGAATAGGCATTGTTTAAATCTAGTTTTGTCATGGAATCTGTTATTGAGAAAGCCCTGTCAGCAAACTTTTGATAAAACCTTTTAATGTATTTTCCATTTGATTACAGTTCTTTGAGCAGTGCCTGGGAACCTAGTGTATTTAATATATTACTTACTAAGGAAATCTCTATCTTTTTTTATTTCAGTTGGAAAGACATCCTTAATCACCAGATTCATGTATGACAGTTTTGACAACACCTATCAGGTATTTTTGTTTTTCCAGATTATTAAATTTATTTCTTAATATTAAGAGGAATGGTTATGGTATTTTTTTAAGTTCTTTTATTTACATGCAGTCATAGATATAAAAGTGCTTTCCATGGGCAGTGGTGGTTTACGACTTTAATCACAGCAGGTGGATCTCGAGTTCCATTATAGCACGACCAAAAGCTACACAGAGAAACCCTGTCTTGAAAAATAAAAAAAAAAAAGGAAAAGTGCTTTCAATAATGTGTAAACTATTATATAAACAACACAATGTGTAAATTATTATATAAATCTTGTCCGTAGTCCTAGCCTTACTCAGTTTGCTTCTTCCACAGCCTATTGAAAAATTATTTTTAATGTCATCTTGGAGGGAATTAGAAGTGATACTAATATTTATTTATTTATTTATTTATTTATTTGGTAGAGAAATCACAAGTCTGAGGTTCCTTTTTAGGAATTGATTTCAGTTTATGATGTCAGAGGATTCAGGCCATCCTGACATGAAAGTCACAGTGGATTAATCAGTTCACTTGTCAGTGCATCAGAAGCAGGGAGGGACATGCCAGCATGCAGATGCCTTTTTCCTCTTTTTCTTTTAAAATTGGATTTGCTCATTTTATTTTATGTGTGAGTGTTTTACCTGCATGTATGTATGCATACCACGAGCATGCTTTGTGCCCATGGGATCAGAAGAGAGCATTGGATCCCCTGGAACTGGCATTATGGATGGTCATGAACCACTATGTGAGTGCTGGGAAGTGAGCTTGCTTTCCTGCAAGAGAACTGTTCTTAACTGCTGAGCTGTCAACTTCAACTCCATGTCCCAATTATTTTTAATTTATCTTCCTATTTAATTTTAGACTTCTTAACTTGTTCACTTTTTTTTCTAGTTTTTGCCTTTTAAAATTCTTGATTATTTAACCAGGTACACAGTGTACTGTGTTTGAACCACAGGAGATACTTAGCATTGAATGATAAAGAGAAAATTTTATTTCCCTTACTTTAATACATTACTTACATATTGGAAGAGTCATGTCCCTTTGAAAATCATACTTCTGAGTCTCTGTGGCATAAGAACAAGCCATTATATAGGAAGTTTAGTCATGGTTATCTTTACATCAACAGTATTTCATAAAATTGCTTTGGGGTAAATAATAGTCATCCTGATTGAGAACATTAAGATATTCAGACAAAACTTTGTATTCAGATATTTGAATATTCTGGTACATAAAAAAAAATCCCTATTGCCTTGTTCTCTAAAATGAGAAAAATTAGTGTGAGAATGAATTATCTTTCATGAATGAGGATGAGAGTTGATCACATAAAGGGCCTGAATTAGTCTCCAACACAGAGTGAGTGCTTAGTACATGGAAGCAGGTTAACATTGGACATGTTTGTCACCACTTGAATAAAGTGTGGTTATGTGTATATTCATTATTCTTTTAAATTCATAAACCCTATCTTACCCTAAACTGTTGACCACCACCAGACTGCTATTCCTTACTAACTCTTTTGTTTTGTTTATAGGCGACAATTGGCATTGACTTCTTATCAAAGACAATGTACTTGGAGGATCGAACAGTGAGTAATATTTTCAGTGTGCAATTTTCCGCACGCTGCAGGCTGGAAACCAGGATCACAGCTGTGGTCGCCATCAGAAGTGCTTAACAAAATCATCAAAATTGGATCTTGAGAAAAATTTATTACAAAGTTGTTTTTGGCACTCTGATTTCTTATTTCCGTTTCACATCCAAAGTCAAAATTTGTTTGTAAAATTCTGGTGTCCTTAGACTTACTTTGCTATCTTGATTTAGAAAGAAGGACAACACGTAGATTTATAAGAGAACTAAAAGAATTTTCATGAGAAATTAGAGCTACTAAAGACTCTGAGCACCCCTCAGGTCATTCGGGAAGGTTTCATAATTGTGAACTTAAAGACTTTGTCAGACTAGAACATGTAACAGGGTTAAATAGAGGAAAATATATATTTATCAGGTTTTGTATCTTCCTTGTTGTTAAATGTTCTTTTAAAAATTTATGTTTTGACCTACTCCTTGAAGAGATTCTTATCATTTAAACATTGAATAACTTAATGTTCCCAAAATATTACATTATCTCTGATATTTTTTCTTATTTCTGAATTATGTTTTTTTTTCTTTTGGATTTTTTTATATATAATATGAAACTATTAAAACTTGAGAGCTTAAACTGCTTTGTATGGGTAAGAAAACTTATTTTTTTATATAGATTGCAGAAATTTTTTTTTTCCTTTTATTTTCTTTTTTTTTTCTCCTCCCCTATTATCCACAGTGTTCTGGGCAGAAATGTATAGAAGAAACACACATAGTCACAGACCCAGGAAACATTGCGTGGCTTTAGAGAGGCTATCAGATGAGCATTGCTTTCTTTACTCTGTCATCTGGTAGCTTGGGGTTCCTTCATTCTCTCTTTATTCTCAGTATTTGAACATCAGCAGTTTACTTTTTATCATTTAGAAGATACCGGGATTCAAAATTTCATGGAGGGGGAGCCCTGTTTCTGATCCTGTAAAGTCTCTCACAGCGTACCTTCAGAACAAGCAGCTTTGTGCTGCTGCTCACTTTTCAGAAATGAGTTTACGTTGTTTTCATTCCTCTGCATTAAACCTCCACATGAGTTGTCTACCACTCATGTTTCAAAAATCATTCCTGTTTTTTTAAGTATCAGTTTTTTAGTTTAGTTCTGTTTTGTTTTTGTTTTTATTTTTTTTCCCATCCCACAGATCAGGCTGCAGCTGTGGGATACTGCGGGTCAGGAACGTTTCCGCAGCCTCATTCCCAGCTACATCCGAGACTCTGCTGCAGCCGTGGTAGTTTACGACATCACAAGTAGGTGTACTGCAGTGCTGACCTTTCTTACTGTTCTCGCTTGTTGACTGATTCTGTTGTTAGGTGCGATTGCAATTGTGGGACACAGCAGGTCAAGAGCGGTTCAGGAGCTTGATTCCTAGCTACATTCGAGACTCCACTGTGGCAGTTGTTGTTTATGATATCACAAGTGAGTGGGGGGATTGCGCATTTCTGATCTCCTTCAACCCTTAGCTTAGCTGCATGCATGTTTGTCTTGTGCTTGTTTTCCTTACTGGCATGTAAAGTGTTTTATCACAGACTAGCCAAGTCAGAAATACTTGCCTCCATGTTTGTGCCAGTATGCTTTATGTCTCTGTGCCAGCGTTTCCACCTTCAGAAACTGCCTTTTGACTCTATTTATAAATCTTTTTCAAGGTTTCTGTGGTATCCTCCTATCCATAAAGTATCCCGTAATTGTACTTTAAAGGTATTACTCATTAATTTATCTCAGATTTCAAAGATAATCTATATTTAAACCTCTTGCCAAATATTCTAGATTCTGTATGGCTTCTTTTGAGCCTTTTAAAAGAGTCTGCCTGCTAGTGTTTTCTCTGCTTCCCTCTTGCAGTCAATTTCTTAAATAGAGAAAAACAGAGAAGCACAATGTATATTTTTCTGTTAGTCATTTTTGTTTGAATATGTGGATTCTGTGGCTGGTTTTCTTTGTTGCTAACAAATTACGCTTTCATTTCTCTCCAAGAAAAAATTTAAATGGGAAATGAAACAGTATTTTTTAAAGATCTATTTATTATGTATACAACATTCTGCGCTCCAGAAGAAGGCACCAGATCTCATTATAGGTGCTTGTGAGCCACCATATGGGTTCTGGGAATTGAACTAGGACCTCTAGAAGAGAAGCCACTGCTACTGCTCTTAACCGCTGAACCATCTCTCCAGCCCCATAGTATTTTTTTTTTCCTTTCTTTTCTTCAAAACCTGAAGTGTTTTGGTCTTTAAGTGACTACAAAATTTCCCTGGAGCATTGGCGACAGCTGTCTGGTTGAAACTATCCTTGTAAAGTGTTTTATTATACATGTAAGGCAATATTCAACATCATTCCATAGACTAGTCCATAATTTATAGGGAAAAAAAAGATTATTTACAGCATCTTGGACTTAGGTAAAAATATGTCTAAGAGCTGATTTGAGTTAGTCATATTACTAGAAATTTCTGTATATTCACTCAGAAGTCATAGTTACTAAACAGTAACTACAGTGGCAATATTAAAAAGACTATATTCCACAATGTATTTTTCTTTCTCTCTCTTTTTTTTTTTTTTTTTTTTTTTGGTTTTTCGAGACAGGGTTTCTCTGTGGTTTTGGAGCCTCCTGGAACTAGCTCTGTAGACCAGGCTGGCCTCAAATTCACAGAGATCCACCTGCCTCTGCCTCCCAAGTGCTGGGATTTAAGGCGTGCGCCACCATCGCCCGGCTTCTTTCTCCTTTTTTTTTTTTTTAACTTTTGGATATGTACTGTATGTAGTCTTCTCTTCAAGTTTTACTTTAGATTGTAACTGGTTTTTTTAAAAACTAGTTAATGTTCATCATAATGCGTTTGCTCGTTTTGTAGCTTTAAAGTATTTGTGTTTACTTTAACCGAAGCTTGTTATACCTTTCTTCTAAAATTCCACGAATGTGTTTAAATAGTAGTAAATTTGTTACTTTAGCTGCTAAAAAACATATTGAAGTATTCTGGCAAGAATCCAATACTTAAAGAATGAATTCAGTTAGAAGTGAGCCTGATCCATCAAACTAATTAACTTAAGGTCACTTCACATCGACTCTAATACAAAACAAAGTGCAAGCTCCAGGCTCCATGATTCACACCTTCAATTCCAGGAGAAGGGAGATAGAGGCAAGGGAAAGGATTTTTAAAAACACGGTTAAAGTGATCACAAACTGAGTAAGCAATGCAAGCACAGTGGGATTGAAAGCCTTTATGAGTTCTCTGGGATGTGTCGGGACTTCTGGCTCACATACTTCTGAAATGCTTTCTTTGTCATGTGGTATGTATTAGAATAAGTGATCCAGAAGAGCATTGTGGCAGTGTGACACCATATTATCTGCTGAGCTGTCTTGATGTCAGAACACTGGTTTTTATAATTATATAGTGCTTTGCAGGAGTTTGGTTATTGTCAAAAGAGCTTTTCTCTAAAATGAACTTTGAGGATTTTTTTTCTTCTTCAGACTCATTTACATCACTGACAGCTGTAATCAGATAAAATGGAGTTACACTGTAGGCACATTAAAGATGGGGTCTTAATGTGCTGTCCCTCTTCCCTCTTTCAGGGTGTTTGTGGGAAGTGTTGTCCTTCACTGGGGGTGGCATTTTCAGTAACTAATCCTTCTGTCCACTCTCAATGCTAGATGTTAACTCATTCCAGCAAACTACAAAATGGATTGATGATGTCAGAACAGAAAGAGGAAGTGATGTCATCATCATGCTAGTAGGAAATAAGACAGATCTTGCTGATAAAAGGTATGAAATTACTGAATGCTTGGTTTCTATGTTAAACACCATGTTTGTTTACTAAAAAAAATTTTCCAGAAAAGGAGACATTTCACTTTGTTACTCCTTTTTAGGGAGATAATCTGAATATAAGTATAAAGATTAAATTACATTTGTTTTGTCTAAACCCATAAACAGCACTTTTACAGAATTGTTAAACATGAAGACAGCAAATATTTTCTATTTTTTAAGGTTTAGTAAGTGGAGCAATGATTTGTTAAAAAGTAACACCAAGTAACTTATCTTTAAAAAGTATTCATAATAATTAGACACGCATGTACTTGTCTTCTTATAAACATAGAATTTTATTATAATTGAGTGATGTGGTCTGTATGTGTTTGTGGGGTTCTGATTGTGTGGTCGTACCAGGCGTATGAACAGCTTGATTGTAGCACCTTAGTCAAAGGAGCAAAGCTCATTCCAGGCACAAGGGGCCAAGTGTATTGACCTTGGCTACAGAGCCCGTGTGAGTGGCCTCAGCACTGGTCAGTGCTCCGTTGTACATTCTCTCTGCTTAGTCTTGAGCACAGTCTTTAGTTAGTGAAGCTTTTACTGTTTATTACTATTTACTGTTTATTACTATTTACTACTTACTATGACTTTTACTGTTTACTACTTACTCGTTCATGAGTTGGATATTGAAATTCGGGTGATGAACTTGTGCTATTAAACTAAAATATTGCAGTGTAATCTGTGTATAAAGAATTTTGATGTTAAGCCTACTTCTATCCAGTAGCAGAAATAGAATTGGTAGTATAATTGGAAAGAAAATGTTTTTGAGATAGGGTTTCTCTGTGTAGCTTTGGCTGTCTTAGAACTTACTCTTGTAGACCACCAGGCTAGCTCCAAACTTAGAAGTATCTGCTTGCTTCTGCCTCCTGAGTGCTGTGATTAAAGACATTAGCCACTACCACCTGCTTTGGTTTACATTTTTAATAATTGGTAAATCATTACAAAAATTATAGCAAAAAAAAAATTATAGCAGCAAATTAGCATGAAAGTTTTTACATAAAACTTAGAGTCACAAGGCTAAATGCATATGGTTTTAATATTTTTAGTGTTTTTTATTTATGTGTATATGTGTACCATGTGTATGCCTCCTTGTCTGTATATGCACTGCATGTGTTCAGGTGCCCACTCAGACCAAAAGATGGCATCAGACTAATTCATTATGCCTGTAATTCCAGAATTTGAAAGGTGAAGGCAGGAAGATCAGAAATTTAAAACATCTTGGGCTAGTAAATTCTAGGCCAGCCAAGGAAGGATACATGAGATTCTACCGCCAAACAAAAGTATCCAATGAGTTCAGCCATATGGTCTACAAGAGCTAGTTCCAGGACAGGCTCCAAAACCACAGAGAAACCCTGTCTCGAAAAACTTAAAAAAAAAAAAAAACAAATCAGTAAAATAAATCTTAGTTTTATACAGCTGGGGAGATGGTTCTGTAGCACTTGCAATAGGGAAACTTCCACTAGTCTACACTGATGGCCCCATCTAAGTCTCCTGGCAGCAGTGGATGCATAGCCTGAACGGGCTGGGGTCGGGTTGGTGACTACCCTGGTCGTCAGCAGAGAGCCTTTATCCATTGACTGATGGAGACAGGTTCAGAGACCCACAGCCAAACATTGGCCCAAGCTCGGGGAGTCCTGCTGAAGAGGGAGAAGAAGGATTGTAGGAGCCAGAGAGGATCAGGAACATCAGAGGAAAACCCATAGAAACGGCTAGCCTGGTTCACAGGAACTGAAGTGTCTGAACCATCAACCAGGGAACCTGCATGGGACCAACTTGGGCCCTCTGCATATATGTGACAGTTGTGTAGCTTGCTCTATTTGTAGGATAACTAACAATGGAGCAGGGGCTACCCCTGGTACTTTGGCTCTTGGGAACATCTTCCTCATGCTTGCCCAGCCTCAGTACAAGGGGGGTATTGTATTAGGCCGCTTGTTCATTCTCACCTGCCCAGAACTGAAATACCACACAGAAACTATTATTTGCAATACTGTTTGACCAATAGCTTAAGTGTATTTATGGCTAACATATCATTAACCAATAAAGGCAGCACATACACAGGACTTCCTATGTCAGGGGAGGTGCTTTGTCTTATGGCAGCTTGATATGCCACGGGAGTCCTTCCCCTTTCTGAGCAAATACAGAGGAGGGGAGACTGTAGTCAAGGTATAAAATTAATATTTTTTTAAAAGAACACATGCTATGCAAGCATGAAGACCTGAATTCAGTTCCTAGCACTTAAGAAGTCATCTGTGGTCAGACCTTCTCATTAATCCAGAGCTGGGTGCACAGAGACAGAAGGATTGCTGGGACTGCCAGCCCTGTAGGGAGAGACCTGTTCAAGGGATAGGGATGCATACCTGTTCACCTAGGTAGTCACAGCACCTGCACACACGGGTTGTTAAACTGGGGACTTAGTGTTGGGGCCCATGTGGGTCCAACACAGATTCCCTAACTGGACTGGAACGCAGTCGCGAGGAATAATCAGACACAGCTTACACGGTCATCATGGAAGGGCATGATCTCTCGAAGATCCAAACACCTTATATATCATCACATCAATTGAGCGGGAAAACGCATTAGGCTGTCTTCTAGGCAACCAGAGGAATGGGCTCAAGTCACATCCACATTTACCTGCACGCTAGCAGCCATGAATTAGCATCTCTATAAGACATCCTCCAAATTACAAAGGAAGGATGCACCAAACCTCTTAACTCTTTTAAGTCATCAGCTTCAGCCAACACCTCTTCTCAGGTGATCTACATTCTAACAAAAGAAACTAGAAGCAGCACATCCTGGCTATTGTTAAACAGAGACAGCTTGTCTGCAGAGTTACGTGATCAGCTCAGACCCTCAGACCGGGTTTATGGCTCTTGTGCCATACAGAAATATGGGCCTGCAGCTTAGCTAGGACATGCACAAAGCTCTGGCTCTGGCAGAGGCCGTGCATAATGAATGGCGTGGCGGCATTCCCACTTAATGTCTTGTTTCCAGTTGAGGCAAGAGGATCAGAAGCCAAAGGTCATCCTGGGCTACAGGAGCCCCTGTCTTGTTTTAGTTTTTTGTTTGTTTTTGAGATAGGGTTTCTACTTGTAGCCTTGGGTGTCCTGGAACTCTGTAGACCAGGTTGGTCTCAATGTCAGAGATCCTCCTACTTTTGATTCCCCAAGTGCTGTAATTTAAAAAAAAAAAAAAAAAAGCCGGGTGGTGCTGCAGCACACCTTTGATCCCAGCACTCAGTGAATTCGAGACCAGCCTGGGCTACAAGAGCTAGTTCCAGGACAGGCTCCAGAGCTACAGAGAAACCCTGTCTTGAAAAACCAAAAAAAAAAAAAAACAAGGTTCTGGAATTAAGGCATATGCCACCACGCCTGGTCTGAAACTCTGTCTTTGGTTTTGGTTTGGTTTGGTTTAAGTCATTAAGAGGCTGAAGAAATGGCTGAGGTTGAAAGTACTGGCTGTTCTTTCCAGAGGACCTGGGTTCAACTCCCAGGACTCCCATGACATCTTTAGCTATAGCACCAAGGGCTCCGTTGCTCTCTTCTGAACACCTTCATTAGGTACTGATCATGCATGTGGTGAGTAGTCATAGGCAGAACACCTAAACACATGAAACACAGTTTTTAAAAAAAAGAAAAATCCATTAAGCTGTATATAGTCATTGGTAGGGCTCTTGTCTATCGTGTTTAAGACTCCGTTCCCAGTATGGGGTGATGTTGTAGAAAGACGCTTGTTTGTTTCTGCTGCCCAGCCCCAGAAAACCACACAGAAACTCTGTTATTTAAATCACTGCTTGGCCCATTAGCTCTAGCTTCTTGTTGGCTAACTCTTACATCTTAATTTAACCCATTTCTGTGTATCTCCATAAGGCTGTGGCTTACCCAGTAAGTTCCGGCATCTGTCTCCAGCAGGGCTACATGATTTCTCCCTGACTCCGTCCTTCTTTCTCACAGCATTCAGTTTAGTTCTTCTCCCCCCACCCCCACCCCATAGCTCTGTTTTACACTATCAAGCCAAGCGAGTTTCTTTATTAACCAATGGTATTCACAGCATACAGAGGGGGATCCTACATCAGGGTGAGATATACAAACACAAACACGTACAACTCTTAAGTGCTACAGACAGTTAAGTTTTCAAACTAATGACCCAACATCAATAGAACTTTGTTTATAATCTTATGATTTCCTCTTTCAAAAAAAAGAATTTGTTGCCATGTATGGTGATGCACACCTTTGATCCTAGCACTTGGGAGGCAGAGGCAGGCAAGTCTCTGTGAGTTTGTGTTCAAGTTGAGGGAGTTCCAGGACTACAAAGAGAAACCCTGTCTCAAAAAAACAAATAATTTGTCTTTTAATTTTTTTTCTATAGGCAAGTGTCAATTGAAGAGGGAGAGAGGAAAGCCAAAGAGTTGAACGTTATGTTTATTGAAACCAGTGCAAAAGCAGGATACAATGTGAAACAGGTAAGTTTTCTCTGAGTATGAATGTTTGCTCCTAAATCAAGAAAGTGTGAAATAATTGTGATTATGCTAATCTTTAAGGTTTTAGTTCACTTAGCAACAGCAACTAGAATTCAGAAAGTAATAAAAAAAATAACTTGCATAATTTTTGTAAAATGAGAAAATACCAAACTGTTGGAATATTTCTGAATATAAAGTTTTGAACTTCCCATAGTCTCACTACATCCCTGTTGTCTTAAATATAGACTTTCCTTATTTAAGAATTTGAAAACTAGTATTTACTTGCTATAAAAGTACATTCTGATTACTTTATTCTTTATAAATTGCTGGTATTTATATTTTACAAAAGGAAACTGGGTAGTGGTGGTGCATGCCTTTAATCCCAGCACTCTGGAGGCAGAGGCATAACAATGTGCCACTGGTGACATCCCCAAAGCATGGGGTTCAGGGGAACTGAGGGGTTCTCTATCCCTGCAACTCTCAGTGGGAGCTGAGATTGTGCAAGTCTAGGTAACACAGCTGATGCTAGTTCATGTATGCAAAGGCCATACCACGCCAAGAAGACAGCATTTCACAGCACTCCTCCCATTCTCCAGCACTCATAATCCTTCAGTTCCTTTTCTGAGATGTTCACCAGGTCTTCAGGCTGGAGGTGTGTTAGTGAGCACTCACACAATTATTCGCAGCAGTTTGACCAGTTATTAGTCTCTGTATTATCAGCCATTGCAGAAAAGATTTTGTGACTAAAACTCAGAGCAGCATAAATAACGTATGGATAGAAACCTAAATATAACTATTTAGGCTGGACATGGTGGCACACACCCTTAATCCCATGACCATCATGATGGTAGCAGCCAGGCAGGCATGGTGCCGGAGCAGAAGCTCAGAGTTTACTTATCTGATCCTTGAGCAGGAGGCAGAGACAGAAAGAAATAGCTAATTGGGAATGGCTGGACTTTTGAAACCTCACAGCCCACACCAAGGGATAAGGCCATAATCCTTAATTCTTTCCAAACAGTTCTGCCAACTGCAGACCAAGCATCCAAATATATGAGCCTATGGGCATTCTCATTCAAACCATCACACATAAAAACAACTAAATACGTAATAAAGTTTGCTGAGTCGATTCAGAGTTGCTTACACATTTGTTGTGTCTTCAAAAAACCAACTTTTTATTTTGTTGATTCTTTGGATTGTTTGTTGTTGGTCCCATTTCATTAATTTCTGCCCTGATCTTAATGATTTTTTTTCCTCTACTGATTTAGAGTTTGGCTTTCTTGTTCTTTCTCTGGAGCCTTAGGGGTGCATCATTAAGTTATTTGAGTCTCTCTGGTTTCTTAATGTAGGCACTTAGAGCTATAAACTTTCTTCTTAGAACTTCGTTTACTGTATCTCAAGGGTTTGGTGTGTTGTGTTTTCATTTGATTCTAGAAATGTTTTTTGTTTATTGTTTGAATTCTTCATTGTTCGGTTGTGTTGTTTGATCTCCATGACTTTGTGTGTATTCTATGGTTTCTATTGCTCTTTTCTTCAAGCTCGGGTATTCTGTCCCCTCCTTGATCCGTTCTATTACTGAGACTTTCCGCAAAGCTTTTTATTTGACTTTTACTATATTTTTCTAACATTTCAGATTGATTTTTCTTCAATATTTCTTTCTGTTGAAACCCTCCTTTATATCACCCATCGCTTCATCTATTTTGTTTGGGTGTTTTCATGTTGAACGTATTCTTACACTGAGTTCACTGGGGTTTCATCTAATTTTACTAAATGCCATTATTATAGGGTTAATAATTTTTGGAGGAGTTCTATTGTCAGGATTTTTTAGTCTTAACCTCATTAGGGGTTTTACAAATAGTGTTATTTTGTTTCTTGGCTTTGTTTGTTTTCTATATTCTTTCAGTTAAACTCCCCTATTCCTATGGACTTGGATATGCTAGAATAGAGTATATAACTCACAAGCTCAGGGTGCCTGGTGTAAAAATTCTATTTTTTCCCTAAGTAGGAGTTTGACTTAGAAACTGTAGCTGTTTGATCACAGCGCTGTGCAGAAGTCTCACTCTCCAGTTCATGGTTTGTAGTTACTGGCGTCAGTAACTGTTGAGGATTAACAGGTAGTATGGCGTAGACTTTGATTTTAGTTAGTAAGATTGGGAGAGACAAAGGGTGAGTAATGATAAGGATTACATATTAGATCAATTTGGGGTTGGGGGTAAAAATTGAGATGGGCCAGGGCAGTAGTGGCTCATGCCTTTAATCCCAGCACCTGGGAGGCAGAGGCAAGCAGGTCTCTGTGAGTTCAAGGACAGCCAGAGCTGTTACACAGAGAAACCCTGTCTTGAAAAAGCAAAACAAACAAAAAAAATGAGGTGGGAATAAAATAGTTCCCTCACATCCCTACATGAACCTCTTCTGGTCCTACAGACCTGGTGCGTGGTCTCCCTTGTCCTATTACTGTGTCAGTATACATTGTTTCAGATCTATTCAGCATTTAACATTTTGGTGTATTAATGTTGGGTATGTATGTATTTATAAATTTTCTTGATGAATTTGACTTTTTTTTACTGTATAGTGTCTGTAATATGACAGTAATTATCCTCAAGGTCTTAATTTGCCTTCTTACTGCTGTCGTCTAAGGAGTAACCTAAGCTCTGTGCTCTACTTGCCGTCCTACCGTCATCTTGCTTTTCTTCTACAGCTTTTCCGACGCGTTGCTGCAGCTTTGCCTGGGATGGAAAGCACACAGGACAGAAGCAGAGAAGACAGTATCCTTTTTGTTTCTTACAGACAGTCTACTGTCTAGCTGAGCATGGTGGCTCACACCTTTAACCCCAGCACTTGGGAAGCAGAGGCAGGTAGGTCTCTGAGTTTGAGGCCAGCCTGGTCTGTACAGTGAATTCCAAGACAACCAGGTTTATATAGAGATACTCTTTCTCAAAAAAAAAAAAATTTTACTGTTACTACTACTCTTTGGAGCCACACTTGGGTGGTTTATTATTTACTTGTTGCTGGGACAAGCCACCTGACAAAAGTAGGAAGGATAATGGAGGGTTGTGGGGAAGATACAGCAGCAGAGTCTTTCAAGATTGGGAGGCAGTCAGGAAGCTGAGGGGAAAGCTGGTGTTCTGCTCTTTTTCCTCTTTATTTAGTTCAGGACCCCAGCCTGTGAAATGATACCATCCATGGCCAGTAGGATCTTTCTCCCTCAGACCTCGTTTATCTTCTGGATGTTAAGGATTTGGTCAAGTTGCCAATCAAGATTAACTGTCGCAGTTGGCTGTTACCTTGAGTGTACATATTGGTTTCTTAGGTGCACAGAAACTCAGAGGATTTCTTTTGCAAATTAGGCCTGGTTATCCAAATGGCCCTGGCTTCTTACTGTAATTCAGATTTTGTTGCTTGCTCACTTGCTCTTTTTTTCTGTCCTGTGGGGATGGGATGGAGTGGGTTTAGTGTTGTTTGGTTGGGGTTTGTTTGGTTGGGTTTTTTTGTTTGTTGGTTTTGTTTTTGCTTTTTGTCTTAAGACAGTCTTGATTTCAGGCCAGCCCTAAACATCTGACCCTTCACCTTTTGAGTATAAAGTTTTTGAGTGTTTTTTTTTAACAGTTTTTTAAATTTTTTGTGAGCTGTGCTTGCTGGGAATTGAAAGCAGGAAGAATGGTCAGTATTCTTAACCTCTGAGCCATTTTTCCAACCCCTTGAGTATAAAGTTTATAGGCATGCACTGGCTAAGTATATCTTTATGTAGTCCTGGGGGTTTTACCAGGGCTTCCTGCTCTCTCTCTCTCTCTCTCTTTTTTTTTAAAGATTGCTTGCCAGAAGAGGTCTACAGATTCTCCTGGAGCTGGAGTTACATATAGTTATGAGCCATCCATTGTGAGTGCTTAGAACTGAACTCAGAGTATCAAGCACCCCTAACTACTGGAACATATCTCCAGACTTTTTCACTTGCTTTTTATAAGCAAAAAACCTGAGCACCCCCAGTCTTGTGATGTTGTATTTTGAATCCCTTTGACTTTGGGTTTTTCCAGAGTTGGCATAGGAAATAACTCAGAGGGGAGCTGTGTTGTGGCCTCTTATTTTAGGTACAGGACATAACAAAATACGTCTAATCACCAGTTATTTCTAAGAGTTTTGATTAGATGTTTTTACATGAAGACAAGTTTATTAAGCTGAAGACTTCATGACACTGTATTCAGTGATTTTCATTTCTAAATGCTTACTATTTTTTAAGTCTCTATTACTTTTAGTAATTAATAAATTCTACCAAGTTGGAATAACATATTTTCCCCTTAATTTGAATTATTTTGTAGGATATGGTCAGACACAATATAATAGTTTTCTCGTTCATATAGAATAATTTTCTTAGAGTAGATTCCCATGAATAAGGCTTATGTTTCATTGAGTCTTGTTATATATAAGAGATGCATATATCTAGAAAATAATGATTGACTAGGTTTTGAAGTCAAATAGATGTATGAGGGGCTTGCCAGGGATGTCAGTGTTCAGCAGAGTTAGAATTGTACTTTCCTTGTATATGACTCCTTAACTTTTGCTTTAGTGATTGACATTAAACTGGAAAAGCCTCAGGAGCAACCAGTTAGTGAAGGAGGCTGTTCCTGCTAATCTTCCCCTGGCATCTTCAACCCTTCTGCGGAAGCTCACTGCTTTGGCCCCCATATTCTTTCATTGACTACGGTGTGAATATTGGCTTGAACCTTTTCCCTTCAGTAATAACGTTGCAATTCATCATTGCTGCCTGTTTCATGGAGATGATCTATTATTAGCTTCACAAGCACAAAAAAAAGTCAGTGTCTTCATTATTTATATTTTTTAAAAGCCAAACAATTCAGCATATTCGTGATAACTCTGAGGATTAGATACATTTTCTTAACATTTTTTCCCTTTTTAATGTTATGACAATGTGCTTTAAAATGATGAGACTCAGCAGCGTGAGTGCGGCTTGTGAAGAAGCAGTGTGTTCACAGCAGAATTTGCCTTCCTTCTCCCACCCCCTGTTCATACCCTCCCCAAACAAACAAGAGAGGTGGCAAACAACAGTCCAGCCAAGCCCTTTGGAATTATCCTTAGTTTTACAGATACCGTTAGCTCCAGGCCATGAGCCACAATGTACAAAATTATTCTTGAGCACTGATATAAAGTACTTAGACCTTCTTTGAGGTCACAACTCAGCTATTACTATCACGATGAGCAGTGCTTAAATGAGGGAAGAGTTCTGTTGTGTCTTCAGAATGAGTTCTAATGAATTTACTGAGTGTTTACAGGTAAAGGAGCATAAAACATTTATGACCAGAGCAGGTGATCCTTTCACATAAACTTTACTAGACTCTGGGAGAGAAAAGTAGCCAAATACTTCAGAACTGTTTTTCAATATTTATTTCATCATGGAGAATTTACAAAAGTTCAAACAGTTCTCCCCAAATTTTTGAATTGTCAAAATATTGTCTTAAAAAATCAACACCTTTTAAAGCAATAACAGCTCTAAAGACCCAACATTTTAAAAATACTTAAAAAAGCATAAATTTACATTATAGTGACTTGTTTTCAGTCTCTCCTTTCCCTCTCACTGCATGCTTTCTCTGGTCTGCCTCTAGAGGCTTGCAGGAGGACCACTTCCATAATCATCAAATGTGACCTCAAACATCCAGAGAGGGGTATTTGCTATTCTTTAAAAGTTCTTTTGTTGGTAAACTCTTAAAGCACTTGGGTTTCTTTTCATAAAAATGCTATGAAGACAAGGCATTGTAAAAACCAGTTTCCTTTAAGAACCAACAGAAAAATATAAATTGAAAACTTGAGGAAAATTGCTGTATCTAGTAGAAAGTTTAACAACAAAAGAACCCTCACAGAATAGCAAATACCCCTCTCTGGACGTTTGAGGTCACATTTGATTATGGAAGTGGTCCTCCTGCAAGCCTCTAGAGGCAGACCAGAGAAAGCATGCAGTGAGAGGGAAAGGAGAGACTGAAAACAAAAGCCACTGTAATGCAAATCGATGCCTTATTTTTTAGGATTTTTAAAATGTTGGGTCTTTAGAGCTGTTTTTGCTTTTTATTAGATCTATATAAATAAGTTAACTAGCAGTTTAGTTTTGTATTTAAGCTACAATTAATCTTTTTTTCTTTGGTGATATTTATTTCTTTGCCTTTTTTTAAACTTTGAATTTGTAGGTGTTTTGTTGAGTATTTAGAGCTTCATCACCATGGCCAATATGCATTTCCCTTGAAACATTGCAAACAAATAATACTAGGAGTGCACCCTTTTAATCTTTACTAGTTATTGTGAGATTGCTGTGTAAGTTAATAAACACATTTGTAAATACATTGTTTGCAGGGAAAACATTTTGAGTTCTAGCTCAAAAGAAGCCTACTGAGTTTATATTGTAAGCATTACTTAACACAGTATAAAGATGAAAGACAACAAAAATAACTTCATACTTCCTCACCTCCTCATTGCAACAAAATCCTTAACTTGGAAAACCTGACTCCTTCTCTTCCTTTCCTCCTCTTCCTCTCAATTACTGCCACCTTGTAGTACTTGGAGAGCACTTGGATTATGGATCTGAATAGAGAAATACCTTGAGATAATCATTAGCCCACATACCCTGTAACGTATATTCAAATATGGGATGGAGTTGTAAAGTGCTTTTATAATACATGTTATTGTTAAAAGCAAGGATTGACTCTTCTGTTTTATTTTGACATGGCATGTCCTGAAATAAATATCAGTTCAATATGACAGATGGTTCACATTCTTTATTTGAAGGAACTGTGATTCCTGAAAAGGAGGGTGCTGGCTTCTTGAACCTCCATATTCTCCTAGGAGTTGCTAGGGTGAGTGCACTAACCTCCCCTTCTGCAGCCCCACGATGGAAGACAATCAGCCGTGATAGGGAGTCAAGCAGAAACTCAGTTTATTACTGTGAACATCAGCTTATATAGCTTAAGTGACATCGTATGATGTGGGGTCCTCTGGCTGGAGGGACATCTACCTAATTTTTGCTCTGTCGTCCTCACTCAAACTCGAGCCAGATGTTTTTTTCTGTCCTTTAGGCCTCGAGGCCCAGAGGTAATTTTGGCCCAACAGGGCACGATTGTCTTCATACACTGTTGCATTTGATTCTTTTTTTTTTTTAATTTATTTATTATGTATACAATATTCTGTCTGTATGCCTGAAGGCCAGAAGAGGGCGCCAGACCTCTTTACAGATGGTTGTGAGCCACCATGTGGTTGCTGGGAATTGAACTCAGGACCTTTGGAAGAGCAGGCAATGCTCTTAACCACTGAGCCATCTCTCCAGCCCCCAGATTCTTTTTGTTATCTTTGAAAGTAACCAGTGTGCTGTTTTTTCATATTACTGTTTTTCATTTGGCTTGGGATTCTTGAGCTGAAGCAGTAAAGTGTGTTCATCCTCTAGATTTTTTTTTTAAATGCAATTTTGCTGCTAAATATATAAATAAGACACAAAAGAAAACAGTTATTGACTTGGTTTCCCATTCCTGCCAGTGTGCTGAAGACTCGTGCTTCTTCCCTCCTAGAGCTACAAAAATGCACTTGAAGTAAAATAAGTGTGTAGGTGAAGAGCAAGACCAGATGGGTTGGTTGGAAACAGGGAGTTGGAAATCTTTTCAAAAGTGTAAAAGAGGGGTTGCAATTTGAGAGACAGCCCTTACTGATGGACCATATATCAAACAAGGTCTGATACAGTTACAACTGAGCAAAAATATGATGTCAGATGATAGCAGAAAACATCTCTTGTCTGGTAATGTTAGTATAATCTGTTGTGTTTTCAGTCACATAAAAGTACATACAATTATGTATAATTCGTGATGGTAGTAATAAATGCCTATATTGCTATTTAACTGTTATTTTTAAGTGTAGTTCTGCTTATCAAAAAAGATTACAAAATATTACACCAGCCAGACCCTTATACATATGTGGTTACTATGTCCATAATACTCTTTTGTGTTTAAGCTTGTGGTGTTCTGTTACCAGCAAGGAGAATACTGTATCACACACAGACTTTATATAGCCTTGCTTTGTGTCATGTCATTTATCCTTTATAATGTTGACATGGTGAGGACTGACTTTTTATTTTTAAGGTAGTTTTAGCTGACAAGATGCAGTACTTAGAGCCTGGGGCAGTAGGGTTGGGAGTTCAAGTCTGGCAGGGTTACAAAGCAAAACTTTTGTCTTAGGTTGGGGGCAGGGGTGGCACATAACCTTGCAAGCAAGGCTTCTAACTGCATCTAGCCGGTAGTTTGTTTTGTTTGGGACAGGGTTTCTCAAAGCTTTGGAGCTTTTCCTGGAACTTGCTCTCTAGACCAACCTGGCCTTGAACTCAAAGAGATTCTCTGGTCTCTGCTTCCCAAGTGCTGGGATTAAAGGCGTGCGCCACCACTGCCCTGCCCACTGCTTAAACTTTAATTTAAACTTTAGCCAGGTATGGTGGCACATGCCTTTAACCTCAGCATTCAGGAGGCAGAAGCAAGTTGATCCTGAGTTGAAGGGACAGCCTGGTCTACAGAGTTCAGCACAGCTAGAGTCACAGAGAAACCCTGTCTCAAAGGGCTAAAAATAAATAAGCTTTACTGGAACTCAGGAATACTTTGAAACCATTAAGATACAATTGAACACTTAAAATAGTTCTTTTTTGTTTTTCAAGACAGGGTTTCCCAGTAGCTATGAAACCAGTCCTGGAACTCACTCTGTAGACCAGGCTGGCCTTTAACTCACAGAGAATCTGCCTGCCTCTGCCTCCCAATTCTACCACTGCCTGGATGACAACACTAAAACACTTCTTAGGACCTCAAAGTCTGAAGTATTTACTCTCTGGCCATTTATAGAACAAAGGAAATCCCTGTCTTTGGCCAGCCACATCTAACTCTCCTGTCCCGTTAACAAAAATATAGAAGCCACAGGCCAGAGAACTTAGTGCTGCTGTCTTCAAAGCTAGTATTAGTGCACTACAGTTGCCGTGAGAAAGAGGAGTGGATGAACACAGGTAAGGAACTGCAATGAAAGGTCCTGTGGTTTATGGAACTCTTCAGGGCAAGAGTTGCCCCCTCTTCTCAACCTGATAGATGGTTGTAGTTGGATTTTTCTTTGGGCCACCAGCTCCCAAATAACAACACAAAGACTTATGAAAGCTTGGCCGTGGCTTAGGCTTGTCCCACTAGCTTTAACAACTTAAATTAACCTAGTTCTGTCTCATACCACCCATCCTGCTTCTTCCATGTCTCCTCTTAGTCATGACAACTCTGCCTTTTTTCCAGAGTTCTCTCTCTGCCCTGAAGGCCCACCTATACTAACTGCCTAACTTTTAGCCATTCAGGTTTTTATTACAACGGTCACAACAATACACTTTGATACAGTGTACAGATATCCCACAACATAGAATCATTCTCAATTCTGGAATCTAGCATCCAGCCCTGGCTGCCCTGTGTTTTCCTTTCTATGGCTTTAAATCAGTTCTTGCAACTATTTCTGCTATTTGTCAGCTTCCAGAAGCCTAATGCAGGTTCTATGTGTCTGTGGCCACCAGGTTTCTATGACAAGAATTAATTGGTTCTACTTAGGTGGGGAAGCTACTGTGGAAACAGTTCTAATGCTTGGTAACTAAGAAGATATCCCAGTCAGCAGAGTCCTTGTCACACAAGCATCAGGATCCAGCACTCAAGTAAAAAGCTGAGTGCCACAGCATGAACCTTTAATCTCAGCCATGGGAAGGCAGAGGCAAGGGGATCCCTGAGGATTACGGGCCAGTCAGTTTAGCCAAACCCATGAGAAATCTCAAAAATAAGGTGAAGATTGATAAAGACTCTCTGGCTGTTGACCTCTGACCTGGTGTGTACACACAAATATTCTAACATCAGAGGTCTCAGTGCCATCTCTGGATTATCCATTAACTCAGAGCATAGAACAGAAACCCTGGCATAGCCTCTCCTTTGAGTCTTCAGATAAGGCCAGCTTCCATCTGCCATGTTATGGGTATGGAAAGCAAGGTCTAGAAATGAGTTGTCCAAAATTGTTCAGCTCACATGCTGTTACCAATTCCATCTAACTTCATAATACATTTTATCAGACCCATTTTATCAGTGGGTCACAGAAATGTCCTGATGAAACCTCCCCTGGAGGAACAAAGCAAGCAGAGCCAGTTCTGGGACCAGTCACGTCTTTATTAGTATCTGCAGCAGGGCCAACGGAGCCCTTCTCATCTACAGGGAACTTTAGTGGATACTCTGCCCACTGGGGCCAGGGATTTTATTTAGCTTTTCTATTGGCAACTGGGACAGGGTAGTGGAAGAGTCTGGAACCAGGAACAAATGGAGAGATGGCTTGCCACCTACAAGGCAGGCACATGAGTTCCCCATGCTGGTGCCAAAGTGGGCCAGAGTAAAGGAAGAGAAAAAGCTGCAAATGGTAACAGTCACAGCAATAGAACTGAGCTCATGGGATCAGAAAGGCATTTCCTAATATGAAAACAACTTGGTGTATGGAGTAAGGATATGTGCTAGTACTAACAAAACAGGCAAGATATTCATGATAGTTGAAATCATAAAACTTTCCTCCATAAAGAGCTCTATCACCTTTATCAAGCAAGCTCCTTAGCCTGGAGGACACTACAGTCCAAATCCTGCCTCAATACCAAGCCAACTGTGTTGATTCTTTGGACGTAAGGATGTTCTCTACTTTTTCTTGCTGCCAGCAGCACCCAGCCTTGCTCCTTGCATGTGTCCTAGTCAGACTGATAACTGTAGCTTTGTTGTTTTTTCTTGTGATAGCCATCCCTCAGACACTTGTAGCTAAATGAAGTCATGTTTGCTGTATCTAGAAGAAATAGATCTGTTTGTGATTTATGGGGGTGTCTGGTAATAGAGGTGAGGATTTCGGCCAAGTCTGCCTGAGATGTTAGCTTTCTCAGAGAGGGAAGGAGGATAAGTGGTGGAGTGGGCCAGGCGTAGAGAGCTTAACAGAGAGGGAAAGGTCAGAATGAGGGTTTAAATGGGTAGTCCACGAAGAAAAGCATCTTTTGTGTTCTATGTTCAGGTCCGGAAGTCGGAGCCCCAGGGCTCAGAACCAGCAAGGCGACCACATGAGAGAACCAAGAGCAGCACCTGTGGCGGCCCCAGCAAGCATGCCCATGGCCAAAGGGGCGCCCGCGCTGTAGCAAGGATCCTCCCTCACTATCACGTGTGCCACACCAGGGCCTGTAAGAAGAGCCAAAGGGTTAGTTAGGTTCAACCCCTGTGTCCCTAATCCAACCCCACATTAAGGTATGGAACTGTAAACTCATTCTGCTCCCCAGTCAGAGGAGCTGAGACTTTGAGTGCACTCGCCACTGATGTTTAATGACCCTGGGGCTGGGGGCTGTGCTCCAGGAAACCTCAGGATCCCTAGGCGCCTGGGGTTATATGCAGTATCTGGGGATGGACACTAGTAACCAAGACCTTGGGAATAGGAAGGAGGTTATTGCCATTCCTGCAATAGCCACCTGGGGTCGCCAGCAGCACAGGAATGTCATTGCTGAGAAGTCTGGCTGGGTGGGGCAGGCCCTGGGAGGCTGGGAGATGAGAGGGAATAGGGATCCAGAGTCCTGCTGGTGGGATTTGGAAGATACGTGTGCCCTAAGAGCCTAGTGAAGCTTAGTCTTCTCTGGTGGGTCATGGACAAGGTTTGGTGCAGGACTGTAATGAGCACTTACCTGCATAAGAAGGCCCATAGTAGCTGCGGACATA